TGCCAAAATTAATTTGGGGTGCCAAAATTAATTTGGGATTTGGAACTTTTTGACCCTCGGGTCCCAAATAATTTTGGTATATTTTGGCAGCCATAATGCCAAAATAATTTGGGATTTGGGCGGCAGGTATATACTAATGACAGTACCACTATTAACAATAGTGGATACGGTATATCCATCAATATCAACAGCACACTTTAATAAAGTAATTCGTGGTTGAAACTCTTGATTTGTAGTTTTCACATTAACTTTTCTGGGAATTTTTAAATTCTTTAATAAAGTGCATTTCATTTCAGAAAGTTGAAGCAATTGAGATCAAGTAATTTTTGCTTCTTGTTTTGCATTTGTTTAGCAATATCAAATTTCTTAGTACGTAATAATTTAGAAATTTCTTTTTTCTCTTTTTTAATAGGCCTTTTCTTTTCATTGGAGTTTTTCTTTTTATTATCCCTTTTTGTCATGGTAAGTTTAGGTTTACTTTCACTTTTGAATTCTTTTCAGAAAGGAATTCCAAAAGTATTTACTTCAGGAATTTTGAAGTAATTGCCAGTTCAGAATTTTTTATTTCCTCATCTGAGCTGTCATCATCTCGTTCATGTTTTTTTAAATAAGTTTTCAAGAGCTAATTTAATAATCTTTCTTCCTCACTGTTAAGTTCATCTTCAGTTACTTCAGCATATCTAACAGAATTATTTTGGTAGTCCCGTTCATTGTTTTAGTTATATTTATTATAATTTTTTTCCCTATTATTATTTTGATTACTGCGACCAGATTGTTGACAATATTGAGTGATATGTCTTTCCATATCACAATTAAAACAAGTAGTTAATTAATTATTATATTGCGAGTTATAATTTTGATTGTTATTAAAATAATTATTTCGATTATTAAAGTTTTGATTACGAGGAGTAGGTTCCTTAGAGTTTACTTAATTAGCTAATCGATCAATTTTTTGTACTAAATTAATTTGTAACTTTTCAAATTTTTGCATTAAGTTATCCAAATTCCCTTTTTCTGTAGTTTTCTTTTTCTTATTTTTTTTTCATCGAGGTTGAGTTTTTTTGTTCTGACTCTGATTCAGGTTCTTTTTGTAACTTGCAAGGTTCTCTTCTCTTAACTACATCTTCACCAGCTTCATATTTTCTAATTAGAGTAATTACAGCAGTCACATCTATTACATCGTTTATTACTACCAAAGGAGTTAGTTCAGGTTTTAACCTTTTTACAAAGTATCTTAATTTATCTACTGCAGATATTCTTTCAGTTTTATCAATTTTTCGAACCAGTTATTGATGTGTAGCGTAATAAATATCAATGGTTTCATCTTTCAATTGATGGAGTTCTTCTAATTTGCGATACTATTTATTAATTCATCTGAAATTACAGAAGAATGTAATAAAAGTTTGTTTCCAATTATTCCAAGTAAGTACTTCTGTTTCTGTATCACACCATTCTTCAGCATCATCTCTTATATGTACCTTTAACATAATAATTTTTCGATCTTCATCCTATTCATTTATTCGTAAAGCTTTTTCAAAGTTTTCCAACTATTTTAATAGATCTTGTAAACTATCATCATAGAAAAGTTCTACTCGGATGGTAGTACCTCCTACATTGCATTGAAGATAATTTAAAATTTGTGCATTTGATGTCATGTTGTCATCACTATCATTACTATCACTACCACTACTGTTACTACTGTTATGATTGGTATTATCAAAATAACTAATAGTAGGAGAGTGTTCAATAGATTTATCTTTTTGTTTCTGTTTTTGTTTAGAGGTTCCAACTGAAGTTTTGGAACTACTAGATTTAATTAATAGCATTTGTTGTTTTCTTGTATACACTCAGTGTCTAGAGTATGAAGATGATTTATTTGATGAATGCGTACTATTTGAAGTAGTTATTTTTGATTTAGGAGATCCAAAATAGTCTCCTCCTTTTATTTGTTGTGTTAAATTTGTCATCTAAGTATCAGGGTCTACTTGTGTTGGAACTGTACTTGATTGACTAGAGGAAAAATATGATGAAGAAGGATATAGTAAGGTTAACTCAAATAGTTCAAGTGTATCTGAGATAAAAGGGTTGGTGGTAGTAGTTTCAAAATTCCTTTCTTCCTCTAATAACTTTATAGTAGCTGAAAATGGTGGTGAATAGGTACTAACTATAGGCAAGGAACTTTCACTTATATTTTGACTAGGGATACTTAACTTTTACTTTTATTTAATATTTTAGAATGTTTGTACTGGTGATTTAGGAATGGTACTTTTTCTTGTTTTTCCTAATGAGGTAGAGTTTACAGATAAACTAACTATAAGAGTAGTTAAGGGATTATTAGATTGAATCTTTTTATTCTCAGGGAACAATGACGGAGAATATTGTAGTGATGTCACTGTGGAAAGTAGTTATGGTGTATAGACAGTTTGTGAAAAATTAACATGAGTGTTTGAATGTGCCTGTTATAACTTTTTGATAACATGTATGATAAGAGATTCAGTTAGTGGTTAGTGACTCAAAACTGCAGATTATTTATTGAGAAGATTAATTTAATAGACAGAAGGTATCTTTCAAAAGGTTTAAGTTGTTTAAGATTTTATAACAATTGTTTCAAATTCGAAAGAGTAAATTTAACTGTTCCTTAATTTTGCGTAATTCTTTAAGGTCTTCTAATTTTCAAATGGGATCTTCAGTTTCAGGTGTTTGATTGATTATTGCTTTTATCTTTTATTGATAGAGTTCAGCTATTTCTTCGATAGTTTTGTTAAGCTCTTTAACTTGCTCAATATTAATCATAGAAATAAATTACTAATACTAAAAAAGGTAAGAAGATGATTATCTAAGATTATAACTAACTAATTAAGACTTTTGCATTGAAAGGTAACTAACTAAAAGGAGATAAATTATAAAATACTATATTAAGGACTATTATAAAGATTTGATTTGTTTTTGCTAGAAGGCATCAAATTGTTACTAGTCAACCTTTTGAGTTAATTTTATTTTTCAAAAAGCAATTTATAACTAGCAACTCGTAAACAGTTACTTTAGTTTACAAATTGAAGAGGTAATAGAAGAAGAATAAAAGAAATATTAAGTTAAATACTAAAAACTAATTAAAAGACTTAAGAATTTAAGGTCACGGGATTTAAATATTAACTAATGATTAAATTTTAAAGGTCGATTTAAGGAATTAAGACAAAGAATTAAATATATTTATCAGTGATTTATAAAGTGATAACAGAAATTTATGAAATAGAATTTATATTTGAAGAATATAAATTAATAAAGAGAATAGAGTTTTAATATAAAAGTATAGGTTTATTATGAAGAAAATCAATAATCTAATTACTTTAGATTATAAAGATATTACAGTTGAGATTACTTTCTAAATTTCACTATTTAGAATTATTCAAATCTTATTTGAAAACTATCTGAATTTGCCTTGGAGTGAAGAGAAAACTCACCTTTTTTATAATATTCGATTTGATCAGTAAGTTGATTAGTAAGTTGACTAAAATCTTAGTTAGTAATTGTACCAATCAGGTGGTCACTAAGTTGGTCAATTAGTTGGTCACTAAATTGATCAGTAACTGGATCACTATGATTTACATTATTGATTTACATAATTTGTATTACACTACTAACTAAATAAATACTAATAATCAAATATACTAAATATACTAAAATAACTATACTAATAAAATAAATACAAATAAGAATAAAATAAAATAATAAAAAATTATAAAAGTGGAGAAAACTTATAGTAACAACGTCAAGAAAAAAGTGATTAGAATTTGTTCAATTAAAACAAATTCGATAAGAATATTACTATTATCTTGAAATAACTCGAATGTATAAACTCTTTAAGTTCAACATTAAACAAATCTATCAAATAACTTATCTATTTTATCTATACTCTTTAATTTTAATGAAGTTATAAGTAAAACTTTATAACTAAGTCAAGGAAAATTATTGATTCTAGTAGTCAAATTTTATTATTATTATATTTTTATCTTATTATATTATTATTTTATCATCATGTATTAGCTTATTTATATTATCTATACTTTATTAATCTAATTTATTAGTATATATTATTTTTTTTTTATTCCAGCGAGGTCTTGCCTCAAATTTATTAACTAGAAAAAGAGAAAGTTTTTACATTATATAAAATTACATAATACAAAATACACAACTTATTCTAATGTTTGTTAGAAAAGATGAAATTCAAACTAACTCATGAGAGACGGGTCCGTAACCTACCACCTGACAAGTAAACTTGCCCTATTAGTATATATCATATAGGAAACTATTAATATAAATCATTTAGAAATTAATACAACTATTAGATATTACAACTGTAAATCTGAGTGTAATCAACAATATAATCAATAATGTATTTAATAGTATAATGTATAGTTTTAATTTTAATTTTAAACGACCAGTGAGGTCTCATCTTTATTCAATATTAAAAATATACATCATTTAGAAAATAACTTAAATTAATAATACATTT